CCCTTCCAACCCAAAGCATTCTATGATTCTATGATTATCTATCACTGATTTGAACAAACTCTCTCAAGAGAAATAACCTGTTACAAGCATATATGAAAATATAAAAATATCTGATGAGCATTACAATTTCTGTTATGAAGTGTGGGATATTTATTGACTAAGCAATATAATTTCAATAATTCAAACCACATACTAGAACTATTCCAGTCAACTATAATACCTATTTATTTTTATAATATAATGGAAAAGAAAGGTTCCTTTTCACAGCCCCTGGTGCCTCAGACATTTACTTGACTTCCTAGCAGCCCAGATGAGTCTGTGTCAAACAAACAAAATATCAATACTCACCATGCAAAATTAACTGAAAGTTCAAGAAGCAAAGTGCAATACCGATAGAGATACTAGATCAGCCTTGCTAGGAATTCCACTAGTCTTGAGTAGCTTGGTATTGTCAAACCACATAATTGAGCATTTACTACTCCAAGTGCAGCTCAGCTGTCTTCATAGTCTACATTTGGTTATCCTGAGCTATTGTGTGAAGAAGCCATAGTATCACCTAGACACTAGTGCCTTTGGTCTTCAGGAGCTGAAGTGAGAGTGCAGGCAGAGAGCCAACAGCAGGACAACTTGTGAGTGAGCTACTCAGCAGGAGGTAGGAGAATGTGAGAGGAAAACACAGAGCTCCCCATAGGCAGCAAACTCGATGCCTTGCAGTGAGCTCTGGGTCCTGCATAGGCTCTGGGTCTGCAGGGGATAATCCATGCAGCCTGTTAAGCAGAGTTTCTCTAGTCAGTTTCCCCTCCATGTGTGTTTTTCTCTTAAAAAGGAATAATCTTTAGCTTCATTGCCTTTCTGTGCATAAAAAATGCTTTCTAAGAACTGTTCTTCCAAAGTGAATCTCAGCTTCTTTTAAGGAGTTTGTTTGAGGATACTTCCTACTAACGGAAGAGTCACTTTCTGTGAAAGAAGACTCTCTGAAAGTATTTAAATTTCCAAACATCTTCTTACCCCACAATACCGCTCCTCGTTGAAGATCTGTGGAGGGAGGGGAATTCCATTTTGAGGCTTTTTTTCACCTGGGACATTCTCTCTCATCCATTTCCTGTTGTCTTCATCGCCTGCTATGTCCATTTGCTGAAAGTCAATCTTGTTGGCCTCTAAAAAGCCCACTACTTCTTGCTGTTTCTTTTTGATCTGGTTAGAAAAGAGGAAAAACATAATTCCTCCTTTAAAATGAAAATGCTTTTCTAAAAGGAATTGCTATTACAAACAGAACTAATGCAAGTAGGTCAAGCTGGATTTGCTACCCCAGTTGCCCCGAAACTTTTTGAAGCTGAGATTCAACAGTGCTTCTCAGCACCCAGACTGCTGCCATTACTTCTCCCCCACGCCCCCCGCCCAGCTTCTTTCTTTCCTCCCTGGAAGCAGTGATACCTCCATCTCAGAACAAGGCTACGCAGGAAGCCTCCTACTCTGTTCCCAGCTCTGTGAGTGTGGTGTACAGATACCTAAGCTAATCCTGCCTAAAGTGAGCACAGGTCTGAGAATGCACATATTCTCTCCAACATGTAACAGTCTCCTTTTTCCTACTCATTACATATGACATTTAGCTTTCCACGAGCCACGTGTTTCTCGTTGTCCCTGTTCTTTAATGCTAGGCATAATTAAATATGAATGAAAGCTTGATGAAGATCCAGTACAGCTTAACTCCTGTGCTTGAATATTTCCCACATTACAGAATGATGTTCCAGTTGAACCAAGAAGAATGTATTACATACAAATAAAGCATGCTATACACAGCTTCTGTGACAGCTAAAAGTCAAAGCTAGCCCTTTGATGCTAGTGCTGTATACATCTAGGATGCAGGCAACAACCTTATAACTTCTCCTTTTACTTTGCAGAAGTAATACTGACTATACTCCTCTACTAACAGAATGCTACTCCTAAGCAACATTTAAAGAACTTCCCCATTTTGTAGATGTCTAAATTTTCTAAGAGCTCTGAGGCCAAACTTTAGCCCTACAAGTACTGCAGCATTTGAAGCAAGCACTGTTTGGACTGATCTGTACAAATTCTCTCACCCTGCTCTTCAGTCACAGACAACTAAATTACTATCTAGCACCATCACGTTCCAGACATGACTTTCTTCTCCCAGTTATGCTATTCCATGCAGCCAGTTAGTGTCCTACATCAACAGTAGCTAGAATGATGTATCAAGGTAATTTTTACATACGAGCCACCATATGAGTTGAAACCATGTCTTCCACAAGTCAGACATCTGAACAACTGAATTTAAAGTGACACCAAGCTAGCGTAAATCAGTCTGAGACAGACAATGAGATGAGAAATAATTCATGGATTATGCATTTGTATCATCTAATAAACCTGCAAAGCTGAAGTAGAGATAGCCTATTATATTGGATGAATGAATTTTCATGATTAAGGACAAAATTTCTTTTTCTTGTTTAAATAAGGAAGTATCTATCTATACACCTATGCTTGCTTATTAAAAATAACAAACATAAAATGCTGTACATTTTTATGACAACAACAGACATTTATGGTGAGCTAAAACCAGTACCTCACTTGGAATGGAAACACTAATCCAAAGTGTTCAAAAGCCATGTAGTTGACAGATCTCAAAGGTGCTTATTTATATTCTTATTTTCACTTTTTAAACAGAGGTCATTTTCTTAATGGCTACATAGCTGCACAGTTATTTGCAGAACACATTCAGGCAGCAGAAAGCTTTGCTTGAGGGACACTTCATTGGAGGAAGTGGCAGGATAATGTTTGTATAAATGGTTAATAAAATCTGCATGAGCCAGTACTAAGAGTTTCACCACATGCTCTGAAAGCCAGTGTACTCAAGTGCTGTCAGCTGCAGTTTCAGCGTCAGCTTGTCTCTTTGGCCACAGGCACTGAAGTAGATATGGCTCCTGGAATAGCTAGTGCCCCAGACAGATAGCACCTCTGAGGAGATAATGGAAACTGAGCTATAGATTCTGTGCTCCCTTGCTTACGGCTGTAGCTATAACTTGTAGAACTAAACCTGGATAAACAATTTTTCTTCAGCTTGAGGTTCATAATACACAGGAGGCTCAGACAGCACCAGGACTGAAAGCAAAAATTAGGAGAGGGTTGTGTGAAAAATGAATGCTGAGGAAAAATAAAAAGTTACATGCAATTGTGCCTGCATAAGGAAAAGGCAAGATGTTTCTCATTATGATAACAACAATAAACTATGCAGAAGATGTATTATGTCTTAAGGCTTACAATTACTAAGGTTTAGGCAGAGCAAAAGACTTGGGACACATACTAAGTATGAAACCATAAAGCAAGCCTCTGCTGTGGCTGGCAGTAGGTAGCTGGGCAACCAAAAGAATCTCTCCAGCAAACAGCACTCACAGAGGGAAATCTTCTAGGGCGTAGCAACACAGAGGGCATGCAAAGCTTTTCCCAGAATGGATGAGATTGCAGGAGCTTGTTTGTGCCCTCACTTGTGTCTGATGGCATGGGAAGAATTCAGATTACTTGGGTATAGATTCCCTGGAAAGTGGTGGTGAGCGGTATATTATTTCATCAATGTCATTTTCCCTTCCAACAAAGTTTAAGTTCCACCACCCCTGGCTGCTAGTCCCTTAAAATAAGAAAAAACTATTTTAAATAAATATCATCTAGCTAGAGTGTAAGAGCTACGGATAATATTAGTTTCACCTGATGCATAATTAAATATTATCATCTATATCCTCACAATACAGAGCATTCATGTTGACCAGCTGCCTATGGCAGAAGCAAACGGTACATAGTCAACAACTTACAGCAAGAGGAACATTAACGTTGGTAGGCTGAGTTGCTGCAGCTTCTGCTTCTAACACCACATGGACAACCTATTCCTGATAATTATTCTTATTTATCACACTCTAACGTCTGCTTTGACTTGAAATTGTTTTGAAATTTGAGCTCAGGTTTACGTATGGCTAGATTCAGAGTCACGGATGACAAACCCCTACCCTGTATTTTAGAGGACATAACTCAAATAGTCTACATTTTCCTTTGTCTTTCTGAGACCTACAGATCTGAAAATAGGCAAGTTCATAAAATGTCACCAAAAACGCTGGGAATAAAAGGATTTTAGAAGTGCCCTAACCATGAGCAGCAGTAAGCAAGACTTTGGAAGACATCCTCTGTGTAAGACACAAACCCCCTTTCTCCCATGATTCCTGGTACCTTAGAACCTTGCAGGATACTACCCATTTCTAAACACCTATGTGGCTAGTAACAAAATTATTTTATTTTTTTGCTGCGTGCTTCAAGCCAAGCATTTAATACTTTTAAGTGTCTCCATTTCTGCTTGCCTTAGTGAATAGTTCAATATCAGATAAGTTTGGAGCAGAGATAATAAAGCTGAAGTAATTTCAAATAAATTTCTGAATCATTGAGGGGAAAAATACAGACTGCATATTTTCTCTAGAGCCACAGTGGATTATATCATTCAAGCATCTGATCCAGAGCACAAGAATGTTACTGGGTTCACTGCATTCACTTTTAAAAAGTATTTATTAACATGATAACCAGTTGCAATTAGTAGTGTGACTGTAGTACATAGAATAGAAACAGTTTTCATTCATTACCAATGATCCTCTGCTGATTTACACCAGAGGAGGCTGGCCCATCTTATTTTGAAATTCAAAATGAACAACGTGCATTTGATGGAGATCAGCCATGTTGAAGACACCACCAGTGCTACTAGGACAATTTAGACTTCCAATTTAAGCTCTTTAGGAATTAAATTAATTCTTCTCAGGAAAAGCTGTACAAGACTGATACAAAATTTGTTTTTAATAGGATTTTAGTGATATAATGGGGTTTGTGCTGGCTCCTTGCATGAATGAGTTTTATTTTATAAATACCAAAACTCATTAGAGGTTCATTGAAAGGATACCATCCATCCATTTTAATCAGTAAATGTGAAAAACTACTCCAGCTCATCATTGTGTTTACTTGGCGTTGCAATTATGTATCAGTAATCTGAACACATGCCACCCTCTGAGATTGCTACAGCTATACATAACACCCAACACACCAGAAAGGAGGAAATACAGAGGCATGTTGTGGCGTAAAGATGCCACACCCTTCCTTCCAGTATATGTCTGGGATCTCACTAACAGCTTTTGTGGGCTGCTAACATACAATGGAGATTGGCATTAATAAGCTTAAAACCTATTACAGTTCACTGGCATTAGCTATCTTTCTTAGCAGTAATAACCCACAATAGCAATGCTTAACAGCTCAAAATGGCTGGATACGGCTGGATAAAGCTTGCATGTTGCTCAGTGTAGCGTATACATCCCTTCACTGCAGTCCAAGAGGAAAGGAGTTACTTATAGCTGCTAGCTGGGAGGAGATACAAGGAATGTGTATAGCAGAGGAAAGATCTTGGTTCACGTAGTGCTAAATATATGATACGCTTAGTTTTAACTGCATAAGTGATCTCTGAATGTCAGTGTTTAATCAAAGCACTCGTACAACCGCCTTGCCGAACTACAGCCCCAATCCCATTGCTGGAATGGCAACAGCTCGTGCCCGAGGCACACAAGATATGACAGCCCCAACATGCACACTTACTGAATGTCTGCTCTGGGATTTCAGTCACGGTCACAACTTTCCCCAGAAAATGGACGAGTAGCAAAGGAGATGGGGACAACTCTTCCTTGGTCAACCAAAGGAGACCAAACAGGAGAGACCAAACAGGAGCAAAAAGACTGCCAATGCACAGCACATGGCAATTTATAAAGCTACTTGAGCAGTAACTGCTAGATTACAAAGTACCAAACCCACAGTTTCCAACCCCCTCTTCCTTTTTTCCCTTGCATCTGAGGTTTCTTATAAAAAAAGGAACGCTAAAATGTCAATAGTAAATTTAGAGCGTCAGGCTTAGCAATAGGCTGGCAAGAGAAGCTGATGAGAGAACTGCAAACTTCCTCGGCCATATTCCAATTTGAATTTTAGTGAATGACCCCCGGTTCAGTTCCTAGAGATGATGGCCTCATGCACAGGGGGTGTTTTTGGAGCTTTTCAATTCTGGAAGCTTCTTAAAGACACGGAGCTGGTGTCAGAGAGACAGAGATGTAGTTACAGCTATGTGCAAGCACCAGTCAGTTTGTTTAGCCATGTCACTGGGAGTGAGTGACTGCCAAAGGAAAACTGCAATCTGAGCTCATCTGGGAACTGGATATAAAAGGAAACAGTCCTTCCCCGGTTCCCACCTCCCACAGACTTCCAACCTCCCTACTATTCACATGCCTTTCCCTTCAGCTGATACACTATGCTGACAGCTACCACAGTAGATCTCAATACTAAAAATCATCAGTATAGCATTTCAAGAGACACACACCCCCCAAAAAAAAATCCAAGGAAAAACAAACAAAAAAAAAACCCCAAACCCAGGGAAAGGGAGGGGGTTGGGGAAGAGTTTTTTTTCTGCATAACTTTATTCAGCTTATGTTGGCTCCAGGCTCTTTCTTAGACAGAGTTCCCCTTTTGCAGGAGCAGTGTCCTAAAGTCTCTTTTAAAAAGAAATACATTAATTTCTACTGTAAACAATCTACCTTAGCTTTTGTGCAAATACAATATCCACCGTTTCCTTCTTCAGTGACTATATATTGCATATACTTTTTCAAACAGAAGTAGATCTAGTAAATGACAGATAATTTATATGTAAATAAACCTTGCATGCAAGCAAGCCTGCATTAATAGGAATTCTCTACATCTTGAGTAGCTTTCAAGAATAAGGTGCGCAATGCAGACTAGAAGAAATCCAGTGGGTTTTTTTCTCCATGCAAACTCAGGTTGTCCTGGGATCTTCTAGGCTAATTTACCAAACTGATCCCATCAGAAACAGGAGTACGTTAAATGAGACACCTACCGCTGTAGACCCCGAAGATGTGGCTACGAAGACTTTGATCACCATGTTGACAGTGATGAAAATGAATCAGCAGAGCACGCCTGCTATCCACAAGTCACCACAGTCCCAAGAGGAATCCAAGTGCTCGGCAGCTCCTGGGCTAAGCCGAGTCTTAAATGGATGCCCCGCCACAGCAGTCCAGCAGCTTTGGCCTCTCCCTCTCCCCGGGCTCCCGGGTTTTCCCCCTCCATTGGCTCTTAGGTATTTTGGGACGAGAGGCCAGTAGAGGATTGGTTAGTAAGAGGAGCCATAGCAAGGGGTTTGCACCTGCCCCTGGCCTTATTGCATTAGATTGACAGGGTGGCAGTCCAAAAAAGGCAAAGGAGAGTAGTGCACCAATGAGACAGGGCTGGAGAAATATTTGGGAGAGGGGGAAGGGAAAAGGGAGAAGGGACAGGGAGCAGGCAACTTAGTGCTGGGGGCAATCACAAAGCTGTTGGGTAATGTTTACCTTTGCATGAGCACTGTCACTGCTACCTCCTGCATAAAAGGGCTTGTGCCCTCTCCCTGACCACAACAAGGACGCTTCGGAGCTGTAGCTGCAAATTTTACATTATAAAAGGGGAAGGAGGAAGGGGAGGGCAAGGGAAGCATAGATGCAGGAGTAATTATAGCAGAGATCATATTGAAATAAGCCTCGGTTACAAACGCTCTCAGCTTCAAAGAATTCAAATCATCATCCACACTGCAGCGCTCAGGGACTTCTCTGAAATAAATATATGTCAGTACATTTCCTGATACTGGGGAGGGTGATTTGGCTGATTCGATGTATCCAGAACGTATTGTTGTATTTTCTCCTTCTTTTTGCATCACCAGTGAAAACTGCCAGGGCACAAGGTGTAAGAGAATGTCCAGAATACTCAGCAAAAAATAACCCATTCTACTGTGTTCTCCAGGATGCTGTTTTTCCATCTGGTTGTCACCTTCTACCCCAGAGGTGGTCACAATTCAGTGGTTGCCTGCGTGTATTTCCTCAAGGAGGTCTCTGAGCATGAGAGGTATTTTAAGAATGTTAAATGATAAGAGATTACTTTCAAATTTTAAGGGCCAAGTTTGTTTCTGCTGTAAGTGAGCAACATGCCACTGAGCTCAGTAAAGCTGACCCAATGTCAGAGGTGAAACTGGCTTAGGTTTTAGAAACTGCTTACACACATATCAAATGTTAAGACTGAATATAGCAGTGCCCAATCCTGAAAATACTTAAAATGGAATATAATACTTTCTTTCCGGGATTGATTAGATAGAACTGAATGTACAATAGTAAAGATGCTCTTGAAAGTAAGTTTTTTGTCTGTGCAAACCACTATGTGAAGCTGGAAATGCAGTACTCCATGTATGGAAGCGGGATCCTGAAAAACCTCACTGAAAACTAAAAGTAACAGTATGGATAGTTTGCACTGTTTACTGCAGCTCACCATCTGTCATTTCTTTCTTCTTTTGAGAGGCAACAGGAGGTCCAACAAAAAGAAAAGCCTGTTAGAATCGGGTATTTTCAAAGTATTTTCCTGTAAAACAAACAAAAACCCACCACCTTAGTGCAAAACCTTAAATTATTGCCAGAAGTTGCTACACATGCTTGTTTCTTGGGAGATTTTGTATGTAAGTATAGCCTAGTAAATTCAATGGAAATGACTGGCCATTTGGAACATACTGTTTCCAAATTAATTTATTTGGTTACTAGTGCTCTGAAGAAGTGCACACTGAGGATGCAGTGGTCATTGGGTTCAAAGCGCACTGATAAGCCTTGCAAGTATGGCAATACTAATAATTAATACTCAAAGCGGTAAATGTTTGCACCATCAAACGTCCACGGTCAGGCCTGGGACAAAATTGCCAATTAACTCTCTCTCCTGTTCTACTTCGCACCTGAAATGCACACTGAACTACACAGGGAAAAAACAGGATGCGGCCCAAAGCCTCGGCCCACCTAGGGCTTGGCCGGTGAGGCCTTCAGGGCACAA